GAATAAAATTCATTTCAATTTTGTGAAAGGACTCTATTACTCCTGGGTTTATTCTTTAATTAATTATGGTGCAATAATATATGGCGGTGAATATAAAACTAATTTACTTCCCTTAATCTCAGTTCAGAATAAATTGGCAGTAAATAATACAAGAATTAACCTATTACCATTTCGCCATAATGTATTTTTTCGTATTTTACTCTATTTACAAAACAATAAATTAATATGCAAATTAAAAACTAATGTGTCTGAAAGGAGACCAACTGAAATGTATGAGATTCCCCTCTTTACAAAAGAAATTTCACGAAAACAGTTTTTTTACTTAGCACCTAAATTATATAATAAATTACCATTTCAGTTGCAAAACATCAAAATATATTCTTCTTTTAAGCGTGCTTTATTTCAATTTGTGATGAACATTGACGATTTAGATCTCTATTTTTCACTTTAAAGGAAGCATTTGATTTTTTATACCAGTCTTGTGCCAATCCAAATGAATTTCTTATGTTACCTTTGTTATTTTTTTTAATATAGTTTCATGCATTTTTTTTTGTTTTCTGTTATTACAGTGTTCAACAATATATGACGTCTTATTATGAGCAAAATAATTTATGATTATAATACCCCCTTTTTTTTCTTTCTTTTTTTTAAATTTCTATTTTAAATTTATAGTATTACTTTTCTTTGTCGCCTGGACAGGATTTTCCTCTTGACGACGAATTTGTATTTCCTCTTGACGAATACTTTGTATTTATGTGTTTTTGTTCCCAATAAAGTTATATTTTTGTTTGTTAAAAAAAAAAAAGCATTATTCGTTATGTGTAATCCACAACTGCCAATGAATATGATCTGGTGGGAATATTTCTCTCTTAATTCACACTGAAGCTTCTAACAGAATTTTCAATTGACATAGGGTCCATCCATGGATAATTGAAGTATTTTAGAGAGCTTTTAACCATCATCCATGCATTTGTAAAAAGAGGACAAAATATTTTCTGCAGTTCCATGACCCATAAATTGGGAGGTAAGATAGTTAGTGCAAACTTTATTATCAATTCCTTAAGTATTCCAGTTTCGATAAGAAAAAAGAAAATCTAAGCATATGCGACAGAAGACGAAGTCTCGCCCCGAACGCATTGATTGTCTGCTGTGCTCCGTGCGCTTGGCAGACACCAAGACGTTAGGCCCGGTTAGAAACGGTGGCGTTAAAAACACGTGAGAGAGCTCGGGAACAAAACAGAAAGATCCGTGGGTGTTTTATAAAAGGGGCCGCCGGCAGTATTGGACAAATTCAAGGACCTATCAAGTTTTTCAAGGACCTAAGGCGTTTTTCAAGCACTTTCAAGGACCTAAATTTAGCAAAAAAAATTTCAAGGACTTTCAAGGACTCTCAAGGACCGTGGGAACCCTGGTGTTGCAAAGGAAGGGGCAAGATATCAGCTACTAGGTTTTTTTTCTTGCTTTAAAAGATCCAAAAAAAATCGAGTTAAAGAGAGTAAAATTCGAGTAATCGAGAATAATTAACATAAAATTTAAGATAAAAGGATCGGGACCTCATAAAAAAATCAAGTTATCGTAATATTCGAGTTATCGTACTTCGAGTTATAGCGAATTGACTGTATATATTTACTACCAATACAGGAGATGCTCAAAGTTTCAACTAGGCTCCTGAAGATAGAAAAATTCTTAGACACAGCATGGAATGGCCCCATTTTCATGCATACCTGATATTTTTTAAAGCATCCTTCTTTTGCAACACTCTTTATAAAGACCACCATGTTAAAGAATCTCACGTTAAGAAAATTGGAATTGTATGTAAAAGCCAAATAGAGTTAGCTTCTCTATTTTTTTTTATTATAAAGCATTAGTTAAAGACATTGCACGTCATTTACAAGGTTGAAACATTTCCTTTGAATTGGCCTTAAAAAATGTAGTAGAATGAATGGATTTATCGAGTAGCTCATAGTAACTTTAATATACCCAGACTTTTTTATGATTTTAACTACTAGTACAAGTATTTCTAAGTTAAGAGGATATGAAGTATATAAGTGAGCATCTTTATAAGTAAAAATCTTTATTTGCGATAAAAATATTACAATTTAAAAAAAAAATTTCTTACCAAATTGTGTACTTTTCTAAGAATAAGATTATTTGTCAAATTCAAAGCTTGCAAATTTGGATTTTCTTCTGTAAAACTTCTTGAAATCTGCAGAAATCTTTTTATTGGAAATTCTCCTTCAGAGTGGATGTAAACTACTTCTGTGAAATAATTTTTAACATGGTAAGTTGAAAAATAGGACAACAAAACATTTAATTAATATGCTGTAATGCAAATTTATTTTTCACATTTTTATTTTTTATAAATAGTAGCTTAAAGCTGTAATCTAGAACTTCTTAGTGCTGCTTTGAATTTGAGGTGCGTGCTTTTCTATTGTTTAAAGACCAGTACACCATTTCTTTTGATAAACTGTTTTTTCCAGGAAAAAAAAATTGAATTAGAGCTAAACGAATTTAAACATTATTTTGTCAAACTTTGATACTGGTTGGTAAAATATTGTAGAGTAATTGTATAAGGAAGAGTGGGATAAGACTGGATAAAGGGGTGAGACTAGGTCCCTTGATTTTAAAACGAAATTAATTGTTTTCAAACGCGCAAACTCTGAATTACAGTTTACAAATCAAAAAGAAGAGCCTAATGTATTTACTTGTCGTTGTTGAGAAATTCACAGTGATTGTGTAAAAACTAGCCTTATTTATTGGTCATTACAGTTACAAGAACTAATTTCAGTCCAGCTTATTAAACATTTACTGAAGAATCATTTGTCAACAAACAATAAGGATTTAGTCCAACAATCGCACTGTTCTGTTATTTTCCATTCAACTCTGCTCTCAGGTAAAGATCGGGCTCATCCCCTTAAAGTGAGTTTAAGATAAGCCCACGAAAACTGCAGTGCAACAAAGGGAGAAGATTCACCCAAGGCTGAACAAAGGTTTTACGGACTCCTTAATTAGGTTTACGGACCCATTATGGAAAATTAGTGGCGACGTGACAGTCCATGGAGGGGAAAGGTACCCATTCCAGTTTTCCTGACCATCGGCTTTGGGTGCAGGAACAAATCTTTTGCTTCGGCAGTCAGCCAAACACGAAACCATCAGAGTTTAGTAAGCAAACATATTCGGTATTCATTTTATTGACCCATTGAAGGGATGAAAGGCTGAGTCAAACGTGCTTAGTCTGGGGTCAAATCTTGGACCCGCGGCATGGGAGCGTGGAGCGCTACCACTGAGCCATGATGACTCTAATTTTGTATAACAATAATATATATTAAAATATTTTTCATTTGAGCATTTTAGGATTTGGAGGAAAAATCCTGAAAGATCATCTTGCTTTAATCAAAAGTTTGTTTGGTGCATGTAATCACATTTAAGAATGCATTGTTTGAATCATTTGCTTAAAAAAAAAAAGCATTATTATTTTAAAGTAATAAAAATCATAACACCATTAAGTGTGTTGTCATCTCTAGGGTCCACAGCAATCACTTGTAAGTCACTCAAACTTAGAAAGCTAATTTTAAAAAACTATCTTTTTTAAGCAAATTTTCTTTACAGTAAGTTCGAACAGCCTTAACTTTTCAAACTTTAAAGATCTGAAATTAATTTTAAAGATATTAAATAAATAAATAAAATAAAAACAGTGGAAGAATCTATAAAAATAACACATATTTCAAAGAAAAACTAGGGAAAAATACTCACTTGAATTTAATCCTCCCATGGACAATGGTAGTTGGGCTAAAATGCTTAAATAAAGACATAACTGAGTTTTTCCACAACCACTTTCACCACTTATTTCAGTTATAGTTCCGGTATAAATACCACTAAACAGATCACATGAGTCCTTTTGGGTTATAACCCTAAGTTGTTGACGTGCATTTATTTCCTCTTTCAACAGATCATGAGCTAAAATAGAATAAACATGCTAATAAAATTTTTAAATATATTAATATCTATACATTTTTACACAAATATATTTTTATGAAAAAATACATACAAAAAAATAATAACGATAATAAATAACAGTATTCCAAAAATAGAATAGAGGCCACATGCATACACAACATGTAATTATCAAACACTTTCATTCGAATTTATGTTGTTCAATAATGTATTTTTTTCATTTTCTGATTTATAGTCAAAATGTAAATATTTGTCTTGATCAAGATCAAAGTTATCAATTTTCTACAAATAGATAGGGAATAGAATGTATTTCTTTTCTTGCTGGGAACATAATGTAAAAGAACAGCTGACTGTCTTTCCTGACAAAAAATATTGAGGCAAATATTGACATTTAAAATAAAGGGAAGATTTGTCCATCAAACATTGTTGTATGTGTGACATCACTACATGTTTATTTTGATTATGATTTCCTAACATAATTGATAAAAGTTTCAGTTGTGTAAGCTAGCAAATATTATACTTATGTTATTTTTCAAAAAACTTGAATTGTTTTTAACAACTGGTCATGGCAAAACCTCTAAAAAAATTAGTTTTCCACAACGAACATACCAAAGTGAAATTTTAGTGCCATTTCTATAAGAGACTAAAATTGCCAATGATTTTTTCACAGAAAAATTCTTAAAAGCTTTGTATTATTATTTAAAAATACTGATAAACATTACATTTTAAAATATTCATAAAAAATAAATGTTTAAATTAAAATTTGACTGCTGAAAAAATTATATTTGTTTATGGTAAAAATAATAATAAAAAATTAATAAATAAAATTTCTTTAAACCTCTATTATGAAACCAATCCAGTCTTTTTAAATTGAGAATGAATATTAAATATACTAGTTAATATTCATTTTTTAGCTTCACATCTATTTTAATTTTTAAAAAAATTAGAAGCTGTATGTGAAGGAATTTCTATTTAAATCTAATTTCCATTTTAATCTATCACAATTTCCATTTAAATCTAACATACAAATTATTTAACAATGATGTAAATAAATATGAATTATAAAATGTTTTTACCTGTTAACGATTCTTTTTTAACCAGTGACTCGAAAACTGCATCTAGAGTAGTTTTAGCTTCTAAAGGTGTGAGTTTTACGAATTTTATCAACTCAGTCAATGATAAATGCAGAATACTTTTGTATGTTAACAAACCAGCTAAAAGAAACAGATGCTTAAATTATTAAAAAAAGAATCTCATAAGCTATTGCTCATAAAATTCTGAAGTTAAAATTTTTATTTTGATGATATTTACATAATTATTTTGAGAATATTTCCGTATCATGATTCTGATACGGATCATAACACTACCAGTATCTCATCTCAATACGGAAATATCCCCCATTATTATAATAAACAAAATGAGATTTGTTGAAATAACCATATAAGTTTCAGAATTTACCTCTAGAATGGAGAGGTATTACATCAGTTAGCTACTCTTGAACAATTTATTAGGAATACTCTTTTTTCTGAGGTTCTTACATTAACTGAATAAATCAGGTTACCTTAATACAACAATAATGAAACGATGATTTAGAGTTTCTGCGATAATGATATAAGAGTATAAACTATAAACTAATTAAAATAGAAAAAATTTTTTGTAATGAAATTTGATTGGGATCTGGAGCAATTATCCCTTAGAAATAAAATTATCAATCGATATTACTCTATCAACATGAAAGTAGAATTTAAAGTTGGATCAATTAAACAGTAATCAATAGTTAAGGCAGAGAAATTATTGCACCAAATTTAGGTAATTTGACTGCACAAATACAAATGATAGTTTGAATAGGAAATTTAAAATTGTACAAATAGTCTAAATCAGCAAATTGAAATAATTTACCTTCTTTTAGTTTATAAATTACATTAGGATGAAGAATAAGATCATCAATTTGAAAAGATGGTTTCGATTTCTTTGATGGTGAAGACATACTTTATTCTTTTCAGTGAATTAAAACTAATTTTTCAAATTAATGGTCAGTAGGTATTTTAAAATAGGGCAATGTGATCTAAAATAAAAATATATAGACATTTTGAAAATAAATATTTACTGCATGATATAAAATAAAATCATAGAAAAATAAGAAAATTCAAAATTTATCTATTTTCGCGACCGTAGTCATAGGTCACAGTTACGAATGAGACTTGAATTATATTTTGGGCTTTTTGAATAACGCACTGTCTTGGATGACCGCCCTCTTATAACCCTAAACTTTGGCGATCAGCTGAAATGGGTGATTGCCAAACGAAATCTACCGCCAACTGCTTGGATACCCGCTTTTTGAACGTGATTGAAAATGGC